GTCCTCTCCCCATGGGAGCCCAGGGAAACCCCCGCATTGCTTTGCTAGGGCAGCTGGCAGGAGCATCTCTGTGCAGGAAGATGACACGTCCTTGCCCCAAGCCCAGCTGTGCTGCCAGTAAGGCCACAAACCTACCCAGCACTGCTGGGGGCAGCTTCTCATCAGTGCAGCCCCTGTACTGTGAGGATGCTGCACCCCAGGAGCTGTGAGCAAGCAGAGCACCGTGCCAGGCACTGCCTCCCTCTGCTTATCTTCTCCCTCTGACACAGACAGGGCTGCCCTGACCCCGCTGTGGCCTCAACCCAGACGGGGATTCTCTTTCTCTTGCAACCCTGCCCCAAGAGCTGGGCGTGTGTGATTCCCTCTGCAGAGCTGAGAGCAGCTCCATCAGTTCAGGGCTGGAGAGTAACTGCTGGAGCCAAATCTCTTTAGGCTTTGGGGCCCTGGAAGTTAGCAGAACACCTTGCCTGTCATGCACTGGGGGGAGGACAAAGCTTCCCAGCTTGTACACTGTTGCTTTCCCCCTGCTATGGGGTGGGTGGAGAGGCAGAGCCACAGAAAGCTCTTAGCCAGCTGTGATTTTTCACCAGAATCCGAGAACCCAACAGGAATCAGCAGCTGCACTTAATCATACAGGGCCATTAAAGTGACACAGCAGCTCTGTAGGGAAGGGGAGCTACCAGCCTGGGGCAGGGGAGAAGTTTGTCTGAAATAGCCAGACACAAAACCAGAAAAGGACCTCAGAAAGGCTGAGGAAGAAAATATTCCTAGGAGCCTCGGTGGCGTGCAGTGCTGGTGAGATCTGTGGCTCGTGGCCATGGGGCTGGGAGCTGTGAGCGGGACAGGACAGAGGGTTACCTATCAGAGTTGGGTTTCTCTGCTGGCCTTGTGCTTTATCAGTCCTCCAGGAGCACTGAACTGAGGCCAGGCAGGGAGGAAAGCTTTTCCTTCACTCCATCTCCCAAATGCCACATCAGCAGTGAGCTGCAGGATGACCTCAATGAGGAACAGATTGTCCCTTGGCCTGCCTCCACCTCCCTGCAGCGGGGATGTTGGGACCCCGAGATGGGGAAAAGGGATGAGCCATGCACTGTGATAACAGTACTGTGATAACAGCAGCCACAGCCAAAGCAGTGGGGCTGGGATAGGAGCAGGCATGTGGGGGGTTTCTTTCTGTCATCTCCAGCCTTGTTGGCAGCACCCAGTGAAAATTTATGGCAGCCAACATTGTGATCAATTGGCAGAGCTGGAAGCATCCCTGCTTTGTCCTGTTGTGTTTGAGCTCCCAGCACTGCCTGGCTGCTCCCAAAGGGAGGGATGGAGAAGGCACTGGGAAAATGATGGCACAGAGGGGGCGCTGGGCAGCTCCTGGTCTTGTGTTCACTTGTGGTGTCTCTGATTCAGTGCTAAGAGCAGTTCCCCTGACTGGCTTCAGAGAGCTGCAAGAGAGGAAGTAGGCTGAACGTTCAGGTTGAGTATTAGGCAAGATTTCTTCTCTTAAAGAGTGGTGATGCATTGGTACAGCTGCCCTGGGAGGTGGGGGGGGAGTCACCATCCCTGGAGGAGTTCAGGATATGTGGCACTGGGAGATGTGGTCAGTAGGCACGGTGGGATGGGTTGGGAATCTGAGCAGTCTCCAACCTTAATGATTCTATGGTTCTACGACACACTTGGCTTTGCTATGTTGCTGCAAAGACTGTTTTCAACAAGCTTTAAAATTACATGAGATGAGATGATATGGAATGCATCTGTCCGTAGAGAAGTGAATTGCTTTTGATTAACCTGTTGCTTGGGTGTTTTTGTTTGTTTTTGATGCTATTTGATGCAGTGGGGCTGTCAGTCCAGCAAACTGCCTCATTTTGCAGAATGTTCCAGGAAAGCATGGGAAACGTTTCCAGCTAAATCTGCAAGAAAAATATTTGCATTTCCCTCCAGGCTGATTTGTAACCTAGATTGCTGGGGTTGGGGGCTTGGGGTGGAGGGATGCTGCTTTTCAGTAAGCTTGCACAAAATAGACATTTCCCTTTAGTCTGGAAAAAAATGAAATTCAGACCACTGCAGATGCTCAAATGCCAAATGACTTTCAAGCATGAGAAAATCTTGAAATCCTAAGCATAAAACATATGGCGCTTTGCTTTGGAATGAGATTGAAAGGGAAAAGCTCAACAGTAAAGCTGAACCGAGGACATTTCATTATTCAGAATGATAGGAAAGAGCTTTCTTTTAGCATAAGAAGAGAGAATTTTGAGCAGATCTGGCTGTTTTTGAAGGCAAGCAGCAGCCTCATTATTTATTTGCCTCGTGGTCACATTAGGTCAATTATTAACTCACTCAAATGAAAGCCAAAAAGCTCCTTAGGAATCTGTTTTATGTGAAAGTGTGGATGGAAGTGGAAACAACCAAGCAGATTTCATTCAGTTTAGGAGAAAAACATCAACCGTTGTCTCTCTCTCTGTGTCTGCACAGATTTGGGACAGCCTTGGTCATCCACTATGGATATCAAAGGAAGCAAAATGGGGCTGAGGTATTCACTGCTGAGAGTGGGGGGGGGGGGGCATCCCCCAAATATGAAATATCTGGGGGATCCGTGTGTCCATATGAGCACTGCCTGTATTTTTGCCCCGTGTCAGCTCTCCCCTTTTGCAATCTGCCATTCACATCCCATGAGCCAGAAGCAATTGTGACTCAGAGTGGAGCTCAGAGCCGCTTTCCTGACCCTGTCTGCAACTGCACATCGCCCCAGGGCACAGCAGCTCATTAACCTGGGGTTGTTCTTTGTAGCTGCAGGTGGTTTCCTCACTCCTGATCCCATCCCCATCCCTCTCTCCGACCATTCTCCTCCTGTGGGCCACGGTTCTATTCCAAATGTCCATTTTACACCTCGCTTTAATTAGTTTTGTATCGCTGTGTTGCATTTATATCGCTTGGCATAAGCTTCACGTTGCTTCCATTACATCTGCACTGCTGGGATTTTTATTTATGGTGTTTCTGGTGCATTTGCATTACTTTCCTGAGATGGATATCATTTTGGCTGGATTTACAGTGTATTTCTTCAGTTAGATTTATATCGCTTTAATTAGATTTATATCTCTTTAGGCTTTGAGGGCTTCACTTAGATTTATAATCTCTCTTTTAGCTTGTCTTGCACAGGAGATTCGCATCCTCTTTCTTTCAAAGGGTATTGCTTCACTCAACACCAATGTTGCTTTATCTAGGCTTTGGTCAGCCTAGGTTACACGAAGCCAGAACTCACAGCTTGCTTTCTTTCCCCTTAATTTCCAACAGGATTATTCTACCATAAATTAAATTAACCTCTTCCAAGCCAACACCAGTATGAATGTATTGGAGATCATCTCACCTACTGGATCAACGAGAGTCCAGTTAGCAAGATGCTCTTCCTATTCCTTCCTGTGCAGCGTGCAGCTGTGTGATGGAGGCTCCAAGCTTGCTTTTCCCTGTGCCATAATCAAGAAGCCTCGTTGGAGCTGATCTCTTGCAGAACGTAGCCTGTGCTTCCCAACAACAGCCACAGAGGACGTGGCTTTGTGCTCCTGCCCAGTTCTGATCACATCAGCTGGAAGGGATCTACATCCATGTGCTTCGGGGTGAAAGCTAAGCTGGGATTGAGAGGGGTCAGTGGGTGTTCACTGAGGGCTGTTGTTTCAGGTGTTCACAGCAGGATGCTCGGCTGCTTTCCCACTTGGAGGCAATTTGGGGCTCTGTTGAAGGGCAGGATGTGGGCTGGGTGCATTCACTTTTAGCTGATGGAAATGAATTCCTGTGAACCCCTCCAGCCATCAGCACTCAGCTGGCTGCACCCTGAGCTCTCACCCAGTCCAACCTCCTGGCCCTCTCCTTGCCCAAAACACAGTGAGACCCTGATGCTTACTGTGTGCCCAATGATGTGACAAGGACCACAGAACCATTACAGAACCTTTGGAATTGATCACTAAGCTCATCAAGTCCAACCCATCCCCACTGTGCCCGCTAGCCACGTCCCCATCCTCTGCCCTTCCTGCAGCTGCACAAACGAGTGGCTAACTCAATTAATGTGCATCTAATTAGGCCATCAGCATCTCTGGAAGAGGGGCTGCATCCGCAGCATGGGCTGCAGAGGTCTGAGCATTCCATTGCCCTCCCCATGCTCTGCCGCTGGGCCCCATTCATTTAATTACGCCTGGCTGCTGTGCTCCTCACCCTTTTAATTGCCCTGGACACAGAGCAGCGTGGTAAGCAGGTCAGAGATAGATGCTGGGCATTGTTTTAAGACAGTAAAGCTGTTTTTAAACAGCATTCAGCAGCTTGCTTTATGTAATTGTTGAGAGAAGGAGGGCATTCAGCAGGGGCAGCGGGGAATGCTCCAAAGGGATGCTGAGCAACTCCTAATTAACGACAAATGACTCGGAGCCTGATGCACTGCTGTAACTGTCAGATCTCTGCCGAACACCGCAGCTGCAAATCCTTTCCCAGAGCTTCAGACCAAGCCATAGGTCTGCAGCAATATTCCCAGGTAGAGCTGGGATTTAGTCAACAGTTTGGAGGACTGGCAAAACCCAAACTAATTAACTCTCCCTGAGGCTTATTAGTTCTCTGGTGCTGGGATCAATGGGAAAAAGCTGATTTTTATGCGTTCACATCCCCAAAAAGAGCTGCCCTGATTGAACACTTCAAAAAGCACTGATGATTCTTTCATGTAGTTTAAAAGTGGGGTTTGGCGTGAAAATGAAAACAAAGGATGGGAGATTAAATAGATCAAGGCAGCACATTTGGGCCTGATCCCTGACCTCAGTTATACCACTTCTACCTGAAATTCATGGTGGTGAAAATAAGATGAGAAAGAGGCAGCAAAGACTTGTGCTTGGTTGGTTTTCGTTTTGGAGACTGATGTTGCTGAGGCCGTTCTGGACAAGGTGTGTTTTCAGAGCACAACTGAGGTCTGTTTGTCCTTCCCCTTGCACCGCCGTCCTGATCTCAGGCTGTGCAAGCACCCAGCCAAAGTGCTGGAAGGAAAAGCTGCCTGGCTCTGTGTGTGCAGTCCAGCAAGGGAAATAAACCCAATGGGGCCAGGGCAGGGGATGGAAAGCCTGGCAAGCCACGGGCAAGCAGCCCAGCCTAAGGCTGCATGGCTCAGGATGTGCTGGGTGAGCAGCCTGCCCAGGGCACTGAGCACTCGGGATGTTTCCAGGGGCCCTGCTGAGCTCTGCAGCCTTCTAGATGGGCTAACTGCAGTGTATGCCCTGCTGAAAGCTCTGCAGGACTGTGAGTGCTGCTGGAGGAGCTCCCAGAGACGTGTGTGGCCCCAGGACCGTGGGGAAGCCTGCCCAGCCCCTGTATGCCCCCCTTCCAAAGCATATCATGCTTTCCAAGCATGGGTGAGACCAGGATCTCATTTTGCTCTGGTCTGGTCTGCAATCTAGCCTCAAACCTGCTGCACTGAGAAGACAGGTGGATGCAAGGCTTTGATCCATCGCCTTCCGTGCCCTGACCACGCAGGAGCAATGTCCAATTCATTACACACAGCCTGCTGCATCCCCTTGGAAGAAAAGGGACTCTATCTAAGCTCTGCCTCAGAGGGGACTTAGAACAGCTGGCTCTGAGCACTCCAGCAGGCACTAATTACCCTAACGAGCCTCCCCAGGCCTTGCCCCAAGCACCCTCTTCCCACTGGCCCTACAGCTCCATTTAAGTTTAAGCCAGGAGCTGCGCTATTTTACTGAGCACCTGGAACAGGGGACAAGTGGATGAATAGGGCAGCATTGTCACACATAGAGGCAGCCCTGGGCGTGGAGCAAACTTGGTGGGACAGAGCATCCCTAAGTAGGGGTGGGCAGATAAGCCAAGGCTGTGCTGAGGTGAGTCAACCAGGTGGGAGAGGGGAACAGGACCATCCAAATGGGAAGGAAATGGAGGCTGCACTTCTCAGCACGGTGCTGCTCTTCTGGATGCCCAGCTCCCTGCTGAGCTCCTGGGGTTGGTTCTTAGAATAAGCAGCTCATTCACAGCAAACATCACTGCTCTTTGATGTATTGCTGGTGCTGCTGCTGTGGTGTGTTAAATCCTTTGGTTTCGTGCTCGTAATAAGAAAACTGGCCGCAGAGACTTACTGTAAGTTGATGAGAAAGTAGTAATAATTACTGCTTGTTCCTCCATGGGAGGGTAAACCTTCAGATGCTAATGGGCTCTGGAGTATTGACTGATTACTCACACTGGGGTGAAACAGCAAGCAAAAGTGGCCTTCATTCTCCTTCTCAGGGATAAGGGCGAGAAGCATCCTAACTGCAGTGGATGGCTGCGGAGTGTGATTTTTGGGACTGAAAGGTGGAAGAGTTTTCTAACATAGGACAAGGGGCAGGGCAGGTGTATTCCTGGAATGGATGAAGGGAAGATGCTGCAGGTATTTATGCCTGGCCCAGCCTGACAGCGTGCGCACAACAGCAAGTGGGTGGTGAGTGGTGAAAATGGGCTGGCAGCACATTTTTGTTTGCCTGGTGCATTTGCATGTGGCAAAGGCAGGGCTCTTGCCCACAGAGCCTTGTGTGGGATGCTGAAGGACTTCTCACGCTCTCCACTTCTCTTTTTCTCTTGCTAAGGCTCTCAGCTTTGCAGCAACAGCTGTCTGAGCCTGGATCTGAGTGGGTACAAATCCCTTCCTGCTTTTCCAAGGTGCTGACATGACACTGAACTTCAAGTTTCGAGGTGAGGAAGGGGGAATGAAGATTTGCTGCTCAGTTGGGGCTGACCAAAGCTGCATCCCAGGCCCCAAGGTGAAGCTGTGTCAGACTGTAATCCTCTGCTCCCAAGCACTGTTGGATCATCCCAGCAGAGCATGGAGAATGTTTTCTTTTAACGGCATATTTTTCCTTAAACCAGTTTGCAGGCACGGCTGAGGCATTTTAATGGAAATTTCCTCCCAGTAAAAAGGCTGCAGCACACATACCAGAAACTCTTGGCCCGGATCATTAACATTCAGTAAAACTATAAGCAACCCAGTGGGAGCATTGAGCTGCCAGGCATGCTTCGTCTTCCTACAGCTCAGCACACAGACTGTGGATGGGGGGCAGCCCTTCAGATGTACAGACAGCAAAGTCAGAAGAGGCCAACACCAGTGAAGCCTTGCTTTGGCCACCAGGACCTGTCCCACAGTCTTTAAGCTGTACTTAATCCTCTCAGCTGCCCTTTATGGCCACTGATCTGCAGCCACCTTACCCTGCTCTGCTGATGGTGAATCTCAGCAAGCTGTTCTCTCCTGTGTTCCTTGGCTGCTTTCTGTCTATTCACATGGGTGCTGGGATCAGATCTTCCATTCCCAGGTCACGTTCAGGGTCTGTTTGTGCCTCAGTCCCATTGCAGGAGCACAGCATTTCTGGCAAGGTGCTGGGCACTGGAAGGAGCCCTCTGAGATGGTCTCTTTTCTCATTTCCCATGCTTTGGGAGGATACCAGGAGGAAAATTGATCCTATTTACTCCATGCCAACTTTACAGGGAAGGAGAGCCCTGAATTCCCCCTCACACCCTCTGGTCCAGGTACACAGCAGGCACTGCTGAAACCAGCAGCCAGGAGCTCACAGCTGCACAGAGGAGGGATGGATGCATCCTCATCCCTGCTATCCTCCAGCATGGACACAGGACTGTGCCACACTCCAGTGCTGGGCTGCACGCTGCTGGACCCAAAGTGACCCTGGTGCGATGGGGAAGCTGATCCCAGGTTTGAGCAGAGCACAGCCCTTCACACTGGACATGTTCCAAGGGTTATTTGTGCCTGCTGACCTCACGATGCTTTTCCTTCCAGCCCCTGCTGGGGTCCTCCTGTCTTTTTGCATAATCTCCTCTGAAGAAGTAGCAGGAGTGGGGCCTTCTTTGCAGCTTTTGTCCAGGAGAGCCGCCTTGCTGCACGGTTCCACTTTGAGAACCCCCCTCTCTTTTTGTGTTTGAGCTGAACCATTTCTTTTCTCCCCTCTTTGCACCTCTTAACTTTCTCTCCTTCTCGACTCTGATTTCTTTGCACCGTTATTGTCCTCAAAAGTATTTTGAGGACACAGTTTGTTCAAAGCAAGGCTGTGACAATGCAAGGGCTGCAACTGGAAGCGTGGATTAAAGCAGTGCTTTCTATTTATTTCTGAGCTTTTCCTCGCAAAGCTGTTTCTCTCAGACCCCAATCCTGCTGCCGCTGTGACCTTTGCATTTGCAGAGCGACCTTTGGAAATCAAAGGGGCCTTTTATCGGCATCTGCCCATCTGGAAGCGATTGCAGCAGCGGGTGCAGGGCAGGTTGGGGCCTCGTGGCTGCAGCCTGGAGTGACCCAGTGATGGGAAGAGGGGCTGAAGTGCCTTGCATTGCATCCTCGGGGTGGGAATACCTCCGGTGTGCTGCCTGGATGCAGGGAGAGCCTCAGCAGCCACGTCAACACTATTTGATTCACAGCCACCGCGTGTTCAGTGGACTCTGAGTTATGTGCATCGGTGCAAACTGCAGCCCTGGGCTTTGCTTTTCGTGCTGGCCTCCCCAATCCTTTGTGTTCAATTATTTGTCAGGGAGGAGAAAACATGAAGAAAGGAAAAAAGCACAGGAGAGCCCGGCAGCTGCCCTGGTGCTGCTGGAGATGCCTCTCCATCCTCCCGACAGAAGGGAGCGGAGCTCGGGACAGCGCTACTTTCTTTGCCTTCGGGCTCTCTCTGCCTTTTTTTAATCCCCTTTTCCCCTCCCTCTCTCCTCCCCCCGCAGCCCAGCTGGGGAGCAGCTGCGGCTCGCACTGGCCCTTTAACGGCGGGGCGGTGCTGCGGGCCCGAGGCTCGGCTCTCCGCGCTGGGGGAGGAAGTGCGGCCGGGGGGCGGGGGGGGCGAGGGGAGCTGCGGAGGAGCGGGGATCGCTCCGCACCGCTCCGCCCGATGCGGGACGGGGGCGGCGGCCGCGCGGCTCTGCGCTGAGCCCCGGGAAGGCGCGGTGGGATGCGCGGCCCCCGGCTGCCGGCGCTGCCCGCCCTGCTCTGGCTCGCCTTAGCCCCGCTACCCGGCCCCGCTGCCAGGGCTGAGCTGCGGGTGCGGGTGCGGCTGCCCGGCGGGCAGGTGACGGAGGAGAGCCTGCAAGCGGACAGCGGTTCCGACTGCATCAGCCTGGAGCTGCGGAAAACCGACGGGGCGCTCATCGGTCTCACCGCCGACTTCAGACAGGTGAGGTGGGGGGATCTGCCCTCTCCCCGTGCTCCGGGAAAGCGATCTCGGGGATGCTCTGCTCTCCCCGAGGGGAGGGTGTGATCTGAAAGCCTGTTTTCTCCCTTGGTCCGATCGTGGCGAACGACTCACAGTGCGTTCTGCCGCCCGCGGTGATTCTTAGCTGGGAGACAGAGGGCTGCACTTGGGACCATTAGCCCTGGTTGAGTTTAGCTCGGATCGGGGCTCTGGTGCTGAGTTTTGTGGGATGTGACTTTGTTCCTCCTGGTAAAGCCTGGCTGGGGGTCCAGAAGGCAAATCTGTTAGGACGAGGGGTTATGGTTTCAAACTACAACAGGGAGTGTTTAGATTGGATATAAGGAAGAAGTTCTTTGCAGGCAGTGAGGCACTGGCGCAAGCTGCTCAGAGAGGTGGTAGTGCCCCATCCCTGCAGACAGCCGAGGTCAGGCTGGACGGGGCTCTGAGCACTGCTGGAGCAGTGGGTGTCCCTGTTAATTACAGAGAAGTTGCACCAAGTGGCCTCTGAGGGTCCCTTCCAACTCAAACCAGTAACCACTTCTGAGAAATGTGGGCTCCTGTGCATGCAGGAGGAACGGTCCTCCATCTACCCGCAGGCACTGCTGGGTCTTTGTTAGCAGCCTGCATGGAGCACCTCTGCGTGTGCAGCTCTGTGCCCTGCAGACAGTCCCACTTGTAGCCTGGGCTGCCTGTGTGGGGAATGGAGGTGGTGAGTTTGCAGTGGGATGGGCAGCAACATCTGCTCTCTGCCCAGCTGAGTGCAGCAGGTCTTTTTCTCCCTGCTTGAGTTGAGAGATGCACGGCTTTGGCAGCTGCAGTGGGGCATGGAGCAGTCAGGGCAGGAGAGTGTCTGTGTGATGGGGAGAGCTCCAGTCCGTGGCTCCTGCATGGGCTGAGGATGTTCCATATGTCTCCAGGGCATCTCTCTCCATGCCACATACGGGGTGCGGCTGGTTCCTCAGGTGGATGGCTGCTGTCTTTGAGAGCACGTGTGTGTGTGTGTGTGTTGTTGCCAGCCAAGCACTTCCCATACAACCTGGGACTGCCAGCCCTCTCCTCCCAGCCCTCTCCCAGACCCTGTGGCCTCTCTGCAGGGAGGTGATGCTCACAGAGCCGAAGCTGCAGATCCCACGCTTCTCAGCAGGAGATGAGAACTTCAGAGCCAGTGCAGCAGAGCTTAACAAGCTGGATGCAGTGGATTTCCTATTGCCCAGGGACGAGCTGTGTGCTGCCGTGTCAGTGGCACAGCTGTCCAGGTAGCACCGTGATGTTATCTTGTTCCAGCCCTCTGCTCACACTGTTTGCTTTGGTGGACTTTGTCTTGCAGCAAGAGGAAGCTCAAAGCCAGGAGGTAGGCAGGAGTGGTGCTCTGAGCCCTTGAGAACCTTGGAGCCTTCTCCCAGGGACTCCCCTGGTGCCTCTTTTCCTTTTTGGTGGACTTTTTTGGTCCCTTTGATGGTCTTTTGCTGTCTGCGAGTCGAGAGATGTCAGTAGAAGCCACGCTGACTTGGGACAGCATGCACACTAGCACACATGCAAGGAAACAGTCCCATGGCTCTTGTGGGGGGTGGGGGGTGGAAATAAATTACAAGAAAACATGGCACACCAGGAGGGCTTTTAAGCCTCCAGATTGTAGAACTGCATACCACAGCGCATTCCTGGCTGAGGGAATTCCAAACTCTGCACAGAGCTTTAGGTCGGTCCGTTGGGGGTCTGGGATGTGACACAGGGAGCTCTGATGTCCTGAGCTGTTGACCCTTCCAGCTCTTTTCACTTGCATGCAGGGTCTTGCCCTCAAATCTCACCTACAAACCCAATGGGGTGCGTGTTGACTCTTCCCCTGCTCTCACCCTGCTTATAGCTGAGCTTTTCTCTGAAGGTATCTGTGCCATTAAGTCCTTAGCTCCATCCATGCCTTTGGCTCCTGGTGGAGATGCACAGGCAGTGCTCCCTGGAAGCTTTGCAAGCAGCAGCCCTGGTGCAGCCTGTTCCCAACCTTCAGCTTTAGAACAGTAAGGGACAGGCTGTTTCTATTTCATGGCTTTGCTGGAGCAAAGCTGAGGAAAGCCAACAAGACGTGGAGGAGATGAATGTGTGGAGCAGTGAGTAATGATGTGAGCAAGCAGCTGCCTGGCCAGGCATCCCCTGCTGACCTGTTCCCCTGGCTGCACGCAGGCATTTCCCTATTCTGTGCTGGTGCTCATCTCTCCAGCGTGATACAACTTCTCCTCTCTGGAGAGAAGGTCTGCAGGCTGTCTGTGAAGGCAGCTGGGATTGTAAAGCCAGGTTTCCCAAGCTGGACTGTGTGATCGTGCTGTGGTTGGGTTGCTGGGTTTCTCCACAAATGCTTTTCCACTTCTCTGGCTTAAACTGTAGAGGAGCAGTCCAAAGGCACATCTTTCTTTCTTATTTTTTTTTCTTTTGCTGACAAATAATTGCTGTTAGACCATGGGCTGGACAAGAAAGGAGCAGTGAGATCATGGCTCAGCTCTTTGCTCTGCTGGAAGCCGAGTGGGGCTGGAGCAGTGCTCCACAGACGGGCTTTAGCCTTTCTCTTCCACCCCTTCAAAGCTGAACCTGGAGGAGTCCTGTCCTCAGAGCAAACCACGGTGTTCTCCTCGTTCCTTTAGGCACTGCTCAGTGGGACCCCAACCTGAGACTGAATGTGCAATAGCAAAAACCCATTTCTTTTCTGGCAGTTTGGAAGGATGTGATGAGAACGGTTCTTCGCCAACTTTTTGTGCTGTAAGGCGCAAAATTTATTGCAGAAAGGATGGAGGGGAGACAGCAACTCGAAATGTTGTGTCTGATTTCAAAAACATGACTGTGCCAGCTGTTAAACAGTGGCCTGAGAACAAAGTGGGTGGTTCTAGCCCAAGGTCAGCACAAAGATACGGAGAAGTTTCTTTTTCCTTCTGATTGCTGGAAAAATGGTGCTGGAAACACAAGGGGGAAAGCATGGCTGTTGGTGTTGTAACCCTTTTGCTGCTGGTCCCTTTGGGTTCCTTTGTTACTAAAGTTGAAGCCCGTCCTGTTAGGTGCTAAAGGACCAGGGGATGTAGGAAAGCATCCATACAGAGATGGCATCTGTAAAATGTGGAAAGCTGCCTCTTACAGATACCAAATATATGTATATAAGGAAAGTTAGTCCATGGGTAGGATGAACGTGCTCTAGTTATATGGGATGAGTTAGAAAGAATCACCCAGCTCTGTTGCTGTGCTTCACTCTCATCTGAAGTACCTACTGTTGGCTACTCATAGGAGTTGGTTAGCAGGCAGGATGGACCAGGGACCTCCAAATTCCTCTGTTTTCCTAGGAGAGCTCACTGAATGTATTCACTGTTCCCCACTGGGACAGATGCTGCCGATGCCTGCTGTTAGATAAGCAGGGGTCTTTCTAACTCTCACTGGGAGGGATGGGGCAATGTGGGGTGAGAGCCAAACATGCTGGGGTGTAATGAGGTGGCTGAGAATCCTCGTTTGGTGGAGCTGACGGCTGAGTGCAGGGAAGTGGCTGTGCTGCATGCAGTGGCTGCAGGAGGAGCTCTGCCCTTTGCTCCTGCACAGCCCCAGGCATATTGCTGCTGGGGCGGGATCTGGCTTCTGAAGTGGCTTCTGAGAGCGAGCTGTCTTTGGGCAGCCCTCACATGGCAGTGCCAAGCGTGAGGATGCAGAACTGGAGGATGCTCCTGGAATTCAGGGCACAGAGCTGGAAAAGTCAGCTTTAGGGTGGATCACCAAAGTGCCTTCTGGTAGAAGAGGGGTTAAACCATAATCCTCTCTTAACCAGAGTCACTCAGCTGGCTGCCCCCCCAGCGTGGCTGCAATAACACACGCTCTGCAGAGCTGTGCTTTACAAGCACAACAACTTTCTGGCCAGCTCTAGCAGTTCCCCGGGGCTCTGCAGGCAGGGCCACGACCACAGCAGAGACTGCTGGCAATGGGGGGGATGTGGGGCTGGGGGTTCCCGGTGCCCCAGCAACAGCTTCCCTATGCCTGTGCCCCCCACCCTGCGTAGACAAAACCAGATCCCTCAGCAGCGCCGATGTCCCTGGGGGAGAGAAGTTTGGCAGGAACGCTGAATGGTTCGGGGGGAGGAAAGCACTGAAATAATTTATTTCCCTGAGAACTGGTTTGCTCCACTCCACGTGAAGCCGAGACGCCGGGCTCTGATCTGGACCACACAGGCTCGTATGTCTCTGCAGGATCCAGCCTGGAAATGGAGGTGGAATTGTTCCCACACCCCAGATGGCAGCCCCTGGAGGAGCTGGTGGGGGTCAGCGCTGGGAGGGAGGAAGCTGTGTGATTTCTTTGCACTTCTACGCAGTCTAACTCTTCGCTGGAAGTTGCTTCCATGCATGCAGGGAACTGGCTGTGCAGCTTTTCTGTCTCCTTTAGGGATGAGGAGCTGCTCTCCCCATGCCCTGCCAGGCTGTGGTTCCCCCAATGCTGCAGCTGCAGAACTGGTTGTTCCCTGCTGCACCACCGTCCTGTCCAAAGCCAAACAATAGCTGTAACTGTAGCCGGGTTGGGGCCAACCATTCTCAACGCCCCCGTGATGAGTTCATCTGGAGAGTCCCTGCGTTGCAGAGGCAATGCTCTGTCGGGGCTTGTTCCCTGCTGGGAAATTTTGCAGAAACCCAGGATTCAAGGTGCACTGGGTTGCCTTGGCTGGCTACCGACCTTGGCACTGATTTCTCCTGCTCTTCCTGGTGGGAACGAGGTGAGGTGCCTGGGGAGGGAAGGGCTCTCTGGGAGCAGGAAACCCTTTGGTGGCTCTTTCCATGTGAAAAGCGTGGCATATTTTTGGTGTGACAAACTTCTTGCTTTATCAGAGCAAGGGCAGGGAGAGCAACCTAAGGAGCTCTTGTTGGGTTGAGGTATTTCCAAGGAACTCCCTGAGCTGAGCCACTGGAGGATGGAAATGGCCAGCACCCTGGGGACACCAGAGGCACGTCCCCTCCCTGGGGTCTCTGTGGGTTGAAGGCTTTGACCGCAGCAGCGTCAGCAGGGCTGGTGGAAGGTTTGGTTGAGATAAGAATCTGCCTTTGCTGTTTGATGTACGTGGGCAGCCGGGCGCGGAGGCTCTGATTCAGCACAAGGGACTGTGATGGGAGGTGGGGAACCCAGGGGCACGGGAAGAGATGGGAGGAGATGAGCTGGGAAAGGAGAACCTGGGGTGGAGGAAAGGATGGGTCAGCATCCGCTTCCCCTCCTGCCTCTCAAGTTCCCGTTGGTCTTTGCTGTCTTTGCCCCTTCTCTCATCTCTCCTCCAGCTTACCCTCACTGCAGAACCACTTTTCTGTGCTTTTCTCTCCAGGGTTACCTGGACCTCTGTTTCTCAACATCCTCCCATTTTACACAAATCACCCCCAGGCTGGGAAGTCCTGCGCTGTCATTCATCTCCTGCATCCACTTGAGGTTTCCAGACCTAATGCAGAGCATACCTGTTCCTGTCTGCTATTTCCAGACCCGATGCTGATGGTGCAGAGTGAAGTCAGACTAAATCCATAGATGAAGAAGAGATGCCAGGCTCAGGCACTGGCCATGCTTTGTAGCAGAGGAGCACAGCTGAACCAGATGCAGCGATGGGGCTCCTTCTGCAGTGCCACTGTCTCGGGGGGGATTGTCCCCATTAAAGCTGTCAAAAAGTTCTGACTCAGCAGCAATCTCGTGTGCATTTCCATGAGTGTTTCAGTTTGGGTTTTTCTTGGGTCAGCGTCAAGTTTCGGATGTTTTGCTCTCTTATTCTCCCATTGCGCTGCTTCAGCCGTAACCCCAGCCACTTGAACAAGCCCAACTTATCTTTTTTTCATGGTATTTTTGCTTTCCTTTAGATTTTATTTTATTTTATTTTTGTTGTACTTAAATGAAATGCCTTCAGATGCTGTTGTAAGACCCTGGAGAACACAGCAGCTTTGAGTTCTGCTGCTGCCTCCCAGGCTATGCCGCGCTCTCAGATGTTTCCCATGTCTGCACAGAGGTGTCAGTCAACCCAGGAGCACTAAAGGCAGTGATTAAAACAGCCTGGTGTTTGTGGGCAGAAGCAATCGGTATCTCTTTCTTTCCAAACCCCCTTTGATTCCTGCTTTTGCACTGAGTTTTCAGCACAACAGATGCATCCAGCAACATCCGTTCCCCTGTCCTGGGGCGGGAAGCGCAGTGCTGATGGCAGCGTTTTGGGATGTGTGCTGAATTGTGTATCCTTTTGTTGTCTGGACAGGGAAGGCAGAAAATGCTGGCCTGCATGACCTGGTGTGGAGAAAACCTTGGAGGGGACGTGGCTTGGAGCCACAGAGAGGCTCCCTTCCTCTTGGGCAGGAGGGCTGGAAGAACGTGACCTGATGGCCATCCAGCAGGCACAGCCCAGGGGCCAGAAAGCAGCACTTTGGCATAGCCATGTATGTGAGATGCCAAAACTATTGACCGAAGGTCAGCTGCAGCTGATCGTAATGGATTCCTTCAGGCTTTAACAATTCATGACTTTCATTCCTGTTCCACGTGCTGTTGGCTCCAGAAATGAGTAATTTGTTCTCAGAAGTTGGGACCGCTCATCCGGAGTGATGCGTGGAGGTGATGACTGTGTGATATTTGCTGAACAAAAGCTGGTGCAGGTTTTGACCATGCTTGATCCCAGCTTGTTATTAGTTTATTGGCCAAATGAGGACCTTTGCTGTACCAAAGACCTGGGATATATTTATTATCAGTTGATGGCAGATGGGAGCTGTGACCAGCTGCTTCCAAAGGGCTTTGGTTACAACACATGAAGTTTGTAGCTTGGAGGGAAAAAATGGGCCTCTCTTGATACAGAACATGGACTGGGATGCAGTTTTGGAACTTTTTGGTCCCTGTCAGGCTGTTGCTTGGAAAAAGGTTCTCCAGTCCCAGTAGTGCTGTTGTACAGTGCAGTGTTGGGACTGAGCATGTCTCGTCCTCTCACCCATTCCACCCTCACCCTCATGCTTTCCTGCACATGATGTGCTTCCTCTCGTCCCTTCCTCTTGCCTTCTGGGCACACACTGGGGCCCTGAGCAGGACAGACCACGTTACAGAAACTAACAGCACCAATGAACTTGTTTAACACTGCCTGTGTGGCGTCGGGGGGGTCTGTGTGCTTCAGCTGCTGCATTAACATGGTTTATTCCTTTACACGCTTGAAGATGAAACACTAGGAGGCACTTTTCCCTTTTAGACTTATTCTCCCGAGGCTATTGCAGCCTGGTGAAGTGAAACCCTCGTGGTGGCACTTGGTGCTGCTTTACTTGAGGTCAGTGGCTTTTCTCCTGGAGGGACATGGAGCCAACATGAGGCTTTTCCAGGCTGAAGGGTGAAGGAAACAGCTTGGAGTAGAGTGTGGGCATGTGGCAGCCCCTGCCTGTAATGGGAGAGCCTCAAGGGGTGGGTTTGAAGGTGAGCATCTCCTGCTGGGACAGAATGAGCTCCTTGCTTGTTGAAGGATGAGCCCCAGCTGTTGCTTGAGGGAGCAGGGATGTGGGGTGGGAGCTGGGAGCAGCCTGTCCCTGCTATGCTGGGACAAACAAGCCATTACTTCTTTAGACACTGTTACTGCACTGCAGGCCTGGGTGGGATGGAAGCTGGGAGCAGACACCTGAGCTCAGGTAGCAGAAGTATGGGACCTTTGACTCTGTTCTTTGGGCTGGCACTTTCTGCAAGATCCTGCCTTCACCCATTATGTGCCAAAGGCCTCTGACCCACTCTGTGATTCTTTTTTTTCTCCAATTCTCTCTTTGTCAGGAGGTGAAAATCTTCCGTGCCTTAATCCTGGGGGAGCTGGAGAGGGGCCAGAGCCAGTTCCAAGCACTCTGCTTTGTCACACGGCTCCACCGCAACGAGATCATCCCCAGTGAGTCCATGGCCAAGCTGCGACAGGTAGGAGCCAACCCCCACCCCTGGGGGTCCATCCTGGGTTGCTTAGGGCTTCCCATGCAGCTGCCCCATGGCTGGGCTCTGTTATACCCACCTTTGACCTCCCGTCCTGCCTAAGGGGCTCAGTATTAAACTAATGTCGTTCATAGCATCGATCCCAGTCTACTAACAAAGCCAACCAGAGGCCTGATGTAATTCAGGCAGTGTCAAAGGGTGAGCGAATTCCTGGAGCTGTCACCACAAAAACCTCTGCCCAACATTGTCCACTGACTTAATTGCTGATTTGGGAGCATCCATCACAACAGAGCACTGATAAATGTTCACAGGTGAATCAAAGCAGTAATAAACTATCGTCAGTTTCAACATCACTAAATGCCTTTTCTTGAAGAGGCATCCCCCCAGATGGGATGCAGGTGCACTCACAGGGGAGCATCCATTTGCACTTTTTCCTAAGTTGGCATGAAATTCTGCCACGCTGCAAGGGATCGTTTCCTGCAGCCAGGATTCAGGTTGTTCTGATCTCATCCATTGCAGAAGAACCCCAGGACGGTGCGGCAGGCAGAGGAGGTGCGGGGCCTGGAGCATCTCAGCATGGACGTAGCTGTCAACTTCAGCAAAGGGGCCCAGCTGAGCTCTCACATCCACAACGTCTGCGCAGAGGCCAAAGAAGCAATTTATACCCGAGAAGAAGATGTCAAATTTTGGCTGGAGAAAGGTAAAAGTTTCCTTTGCTGGGGCTGGAAGTGGTCCCATCACTGAGCTGGCACAGTGTTGTGCTCTCTGATGCCAGTGGTTGGCATGGAGTGCTTCAGCTCTTGTTTGCTGTTGCATGGTTGTGGTGTGTGCACACCATGCTGTACTCTTCTGTTCTTCAGCTGTAGTGCTGCTCTCCTCGTGAACCTAATTAAGTGTTGCCTGGTCCATCACCCAAAAGAGAAGCATTCTTTACATTCTTTATGTCTTTCAGCTTGTTCTCCCTACTGCCCGTTCTCCTCCCATGCTTCCCATCCCACACCCATGTTGAACACCCCCCGACGCCGCCCTCTCTGCCCTCAATCTCCTCCTCCACCCTAGAGTTGGTGCCATGAGTGCCCTGAGCACTTCTCCTGCTTTTGTCCTGCAGGGATGGACGGCTCCATGTTCGAGGTCCTGCCACAGACATCTGACCTGCCCGACCTGCAGCGCTGCAAGCTGTGCACGGACCGCTGGAAGCCGTGCATCTGCAGCTACTCACTGAGCATCGAGTGGTACCCGTGCATGCTCAAGTACTGCAAGAGTCGTGATGCTGCAGGCAAGGTTTCTTCCTACAAATGTGGCATCCGCAGCTGCCAGAAGGGCTACACCTTTGATTACTACGTGCCGCAGAAGCAGCTCTGTCTCTGGGATGAGGAGACCTAGCAGAGCTGGGCCAGGCCTCGTCAAGGAGTGGCTCGTCTGCCCTCCTGCTTGCAGTGCTGAGGGCCTCCTGGAGCTGGCTGCTCTGAAGAAGGAATTTGGTTTGCAGCGATGCCTTGTGCCAGGAGAGCTCTGTGAATGTGCCTTTCTTTTGGCCCCCTGTGCCCCCGTCCTGATGCTGCCTCGTGCTGTGATCAGCAGGTGATGCTGTCCTGCACGGCTTGCTGGCCTGAAGCAGCAGGAGGGCTGTGCCTTGCCCTGCTCTGGAGCTAGCAGGTGTGAAGGGGTCAGTTGTGAGCACCATGGCTGCTTTGGGGCAGGGGGAGAAGCCATCCCACAGAGCCGGATTGTCCAACATTTCTGCCACCAAAAGCCCTTTGCTGACTTTGCCACCTCCTGGTGATTTGACAGCATTTCCCAATGGGAAAACAGCTGAGTTATGGGACCACAAACCCTGAATAAGGAAGGTGTGAAGCCCACCCAAAGCCTACCTGTAGCTTTCCTAGCATCCAGCCACCTGCTATGTCCTTCCTGTGGCTATGAGGTGCTATGGGGGGATGCATCCCAGCAATTATTTCCGCCCCAAAGGGCTGGTAATGAGGGCTCTAACTCACCCCCACTTAGACTAGTGAAGGCCCAACTTTTTGTGTTGGTTCCATGCCTCACCCACTGAGCAAGAAACATCCAGAAATGTGTGACTGCCATCCTAACAGTGCACTATAAGGCAGGGGCGATCCCAGATGAGCATTGCAGATAGGGGAAAACAGCATTCTGCATCTACGCCCAGCCTTGCATCCTACTTCACAAGGAGCTCTTAGGCAGCCCGTGCTGCTTTGCTGTGCCTTGGTTTGCCCTGTGTGTGAGCATGGATGGTGCCAGAGCCAACCATACACCTGGAGGGCATTGGACATAAAGTGCTGCAGAGCGCTGTGAGTTCTTCCACTCGACTCAGAACAAGCAGGGAGAAGACAGGGGCTCTTGGGGCTATAGGGAAGCCCCGTGCCTCCTGCTGAGAAGCCTTTTATCGTGTGCCTTTTTGCCTAACATCCAGGATTTTTTTTTTTTTTTTGACAAAAAAAAAGAAAGGAAAAAAAAAATTGGTCACAATTATTTTTGTATTGATTACTTAAAGGGGAAGGGAGGGGAGGGAGAGAAGGGAAAGGTATTTTAATACTGCAACATGAAGTAAGATACACTTGAATGATTTTTTTTTTTTTTTAAAGAGAAAAGCAATCCGATTATTTATCATTTGTAAGATACAATAAACTGATTTTTTTGTTGTTTTTTTTTTTTGAAGCATCCCTGGCCTAAAAAGCTCTGTTGTAACCTCAGTGTCACTTGTCTGTTTGGAATCTTGACTTGAGGGCTGTTGTGTCAAGCCTGTACTGTGAGCATTGAGGATTTGGGGGGAGGGTCGTCAGTGTGATCCTGCAGCTCCTTCTGTAATTTCGAGCCTGAGCTCTGGGCATGTAGCAGAGCCCAGGGGCAGCAATGGGGTCATGGGGTTCGGGAGGCTGGGGTCTGCTCCTCTCCCCCACAGGAGCGTATGAATGTGGGTCTGTGCCCAGCAGCCCCGGGGGAGGGATGGGGGTCCCCTTTTATCCATCCCTCTGCAGCAGAGATGAAAGGAGGACGGCGTTTTGGGGCGGCTCGGAGCTCGTGCTGCTCGCAGGAGAAGCGTGGAGTGCTGATTCCCCCTAGCGTGGTGCAGGCGGAGGCAGAGTTTGTGCAGCCTCAGCCCTTCTGCACTTGAGCAACCGAAGCATCTCCCCATGATTTCTAAGGAGGCTGGAGCTGTTTTTCCCCTGCTGATGTGCTCAGCGTTACACGGGTTCCTGCTCGTCCTTGCTGGGCTCAGATCCTGGCACACAGGCGGCTCAAGCTGGCTGGGAGCTCTGACATAAATCCTCAAAGCTATAGGAGAAGCCGTGGGGGATTTTGTAACATCTTTCCACAGCCCGTGCTTGCAGCCCCGTCCCCAGGCCGTGCTGTCTGCAGAGCTCCCCTCCCACCGAGAGGGAGCACGAGTGGGCTGTGTGCAAGTGGTGAGGATGGGAGGCTGTGGGTCCTGATTGATGCTCACGGGGAGGAAAGAAAGGAATAGGAGTGCAGCTGATTTCTATCAGCAGCGTATCTGCGGGCATCCAGGAGGGATTGTCTCAGGATGGAATCAAAGCAAATCTGCCTTTGCCTGGGAAAGGTGTCCTTAGGGCTGCAGCTCTCCTCTCTTGTCTGTACATCTCAGGGCGGCTGCAGGTGACTTAACCACGAGGTCACGTACTTTCCTGGCAGTGGTCTCCAGATGAGGGGCTTCTGAGGAGAAAAACACGATTTCTTTCCTTCTCGCTGTCCCACCTACCGCAGAATAAGAACCAGAAAAAAGCAGAGCCTAGCAGCTGGGACCAGGAGAGGGCACTGCGGGGCCGCCTATGGCCGGGCCAGCATCCCGGGCTGGGGGGTGTGCGGTGACAGCAGTGCGGCCGTGCGGGACACCGGGGGGATAAGGATGGGCTGCTCTGCTCTGGAGCAAGGGGAAAGCATTGGGGAGCAAAGGGAAAAAAAGAAAGAGCATCAAAGGAATGTGTTTGAGTGCTTGAGATGGGGAAAAAGAGAGTGTTGGTGACCCTCAGCCTTTCAGGAGCTCTTTCTCTGCACCCCTTTCAGCTGACTGAGTGCCACCTCCAAACCCACGTCTGACGCAGTGCGGACACCTGATCGCATCAGGCTTCGACATGGGGAAATCCCAGGTGTGGGGGTCACGCTGATGCCACTCACAAGCAGCCCAGCAGTACCCAGAAGTGCCCACGGGTCCAGCTGAGCTGGGGCTGTGCCACAGAGCTGTGGCAGAAGGCCAGGAGAAGAAGTCCTGCACAGTCTACCTGTGTCGCCTCCTGTTTCCTGGAGCAGCAGTGAAAACAGCCCACAGCCATCTCCCTTCAGTCCCTCCATCCTGCCAACCTGGGAACCTCCTCTCTCCATTTTTATTCTTGCTTTCCTCATCTTCTTTTAATTTTGAAGCACATCCTTGCAGCCCTCTCCCATGGGTGTCCCCTCACGCTCCAGCCCCAGAGCCCCCCACACTTGGGATGAAGGTGAGGTTCTCCAGCCCCATAGCCTCACACTGGGGTGGAGGTGAAGCCTGGAGAGCCTGCCCACCACCCACCCATCCCTTGGGAGAAACCTGTCTTTCCAGGGAGGGAGAGCAGCATGTGGGAAAGCCAAGAGCCCTGGAACGTGCACGAGGCAGGGAGAGATGGATGTGTGATAGCTTGTACCTGGCAGCTCTGATGGATAAAGCCTGTTAACGCTTTCAGGAAGGGGCTGAGCAGGAGACTGGGAGGTTTGTACACCCCTAAGCAAGGCAGGAGGCATCGGGGCAGTGCAGGGGGCAAACAGAGACAACAGGTATAGAATCATAGAATGGTTTGAGCAGGTCAGGGGGATGCTGGTGCTGTCATGGGATGGAGTGCCAGCCTGCCTGCAGCTAGGGGATTTTCTCCCTGGCTTCCCTGGAATCCTGGAGCCTGACGTGACACGGTGGGGAGGAGGAGGCCCTGCTTCCCTCTCCTCGAGCCTCGTGGCAAGGAGAACAGCTTGGGAAGGGCCAGCTGCGTGCAGCACCGCTCCATCCCATGCTGAGCGCTTCCACGGATCCCCCAGTGCTCAGCCCCATGCAAGCGGCCCAACACAACCACCACAAAGTGCCGCTTCCCTCTGAGTGCCACCTCGTGCCTCGACCCCTCGCGATGCCCGCAGCCTCCCCGCAGCACGAGGCTACGCGGGGCAGCAGCCAGGCCCGCTCGCAGGTGCTGCGGGGCTCATCGAGGCGGCGCGGGCGGGCGAGCGATCCGCCTCCTTCCCACCCCACCCCACACCCTGGTAGCGCTGCAGGGACTCATCCATTCCCCGGTTACTAATATGCAAATGGTGCTTTTGCATGGGCCGGGCGCCAGGCTGCTGGGTGTCAGGGCACCCGAGGGAGCCGGAGGTGGGGCGAGGCGTGGCGTGGAGCCGCATGCTCACCTGGCCCTGCATGGCAACAGGCAATGGAGCTGTAGGTCCCGTCGGGAGCGGACCCGCGCCCGGTTCGAGAGGCAGCAGCGGGTGGCAGAGGAGGGAGGGCAAACTGGCAGCCCCTGGCAACCTGGGGCTGACGGCAGGAGGCTGGGCGCACCGCGGGTTTCCCCCCGCCAGCAGGATGGTGAACCTGGAGTCCGTGCACGCAGGTAAACGAGCGCGGCAGGAAGGATCGGGCTGCAGGAAATGGGGTTGCTGCGATTCCTATGGCTTTTCCCCCTCCTCGACCTCCTCTTCTCTTCTCTTCTGTTGGAGTCAGCGATCGCAGCTGGCACGCAGGGATGGATGCTGCCTTGACCGTTTTTAAGGTGCGCAGTGTGGAAGCGCTGCTCGTAGTGCTGGCACCAACGTGGGCTGCAGAGCAGAGCAGAGAGAAAGGCATTGGGGCAGCTGGAAAGTGGGCAGGCAGTGCCTGAGCCCCAGGTCTGGTGTCATTGGGGTAAAGCTGGGAGCAGTGAGAGGGGTGAAGTCAGAGGACTGCAGGAAGGATGTGTGACTGAGAGGGAGGGGGGCTGCAAGGAGAAAAGGGAATGACGAAGAAGGAAAAGGAGGAAAAAAGATTTCTATGAATGAGCAGAGAGCTGCAGGAGGATGGGGCGACTCCTGATGGGATGGGGAGAACAGGGAATGAATGAAGGGCGATACGCAGAAGGAGCAAGCGCTGCTCCCAGGGGGTTTGACACAGCGGTGCAGCTTGAAAGCTCCACATCTCCAGGCAGCCCTCGCTGGGAGCAGAGCAATGGGTGCCAAACACCTCAATGCTGCCAGGAGCTCAGGCTCGCCCTGCACCTCGTGTTTGGCTGCTGCTCCCATCCTGAGGAGCCCCTGCGAAGAGAGGAGGGACCATCCTCGGGCATGTGGGGCTGTGAACTGGGTCCTGACAGCCCCTGCTGTGGGATGGGGTGCTGGAGGCAGGGGCCACGTGCAGCTGAGCAGGGAGCCTCCACACCACTGGGAGAGGCAGCGGGAGGCTGGCAGTGCAGTGGGGTCTGAGCACCTGTGCTGGCCCGGTGTGCAGCATCTCCTGGGGCTGCACCCCCCCCCCCAGACTCCTATCTGCCCAGCTGCTGAACTTGTGGGCGACTCTTTCTTCATGAAAAGATTCCCCACATTGATACCGTGCCCTCTGTCAGAGCCCGTGGCATCACTCCCAGGGTGGATTTGGCTGGGAGCTGCATGGTGCAGGGTGCACGCTGAGCCTCCCTCCCCCAAATCGCCCACCGAGGGGCCCGAGCTTCCAACAGTGGATTTACAGGGAGGGAGACAAAGCTGAGCCCGGCTGTTTGCACGTGGCAGAGCCCAGAGCAGGTAGTAGGGAGTTATTCCCATTGCTGCAAAGGGGGATCTGTGTGCCGAGCAGCTTGGGAGGCTGAAACCCACATTGCTCCCCCCCAAGCAGGGTCTGCACAGCACTCCCCTGCAGCAGAACCACCCCCTGCTCCTAACATCTACACCTTCTCAGCTTCCTGCAGCCTCTGCAGAGCTCGGGCACATAGAGCACAGCAAAACCCATCGGGTTCCAGGTGCCGGACTCAACCAACCCAATTTCTCCCCACTACTTTCTTTTCTCCTCTTAAAGCCACTGGGCTGGTTTACGCCAGGTGCCCATGTCAGAACAACTCCAAGGAATAAGGGCTTGGGAAAGCTTTATTTGCTGACACCATTTGTTTCGGCCAAAATAGAGATGCAGATATATCCCCAGAGAAGTGTCTGCACCGGTAGAGTTGCTTTGGTCTGGGTAAACAAAGCAGCCTGCCTCTTGTGCAGGTAGCTGAGCTCTGGCAGCACATTTTTAATATGGCCCAGGCCACAGCGGCGGCTCCTAATGGGGCTGTGGTTGGGAGTCAGGCAGTCCCACACTGTATTATTTTTCCCAGCCGTGTCTGCGCTCAGCTTGCTCTCCATCTATTGCAAAGCTGCATGGCAAGAGCCCGCATTTGCCTGGCCTCAGTGTCTCACAGCCTGCTTTGTCTTAAGAAAAACCATCACACGTGGGGGCTCGGTGTCACTCTGCCCCTGGGTTAGAGTGAAGGACGTATAATTCCCATCATCCTGGCTGTGTTTGCATCAGAAAGTCACCCCTGCATCCCCAGCCCTGGTTCCCAAGGACCCCTCAGAGGATGCAGCACTGCTATCCATGTGTGCTCACCCATATCAGCAGACTTCCATCAAAAAACATTGCTTTTTTCCCCCTGGTTCTTTGTTG